TGTTTTAATGTTACACCAAAAACCAAATTCAATTTTCTGAAAAATCGATTTTGCTTAAAAATTCTCGTTTTTCCTTAATTTTTCTTTTGTTTTTCTTGGCCCTTTGAAAAGTACTGAGAATTTTAAAATTTGACCTTCCCAATGCACCAACAATATTCACTTTCCAATCGAACAAGATACTCAGTGTTGAGACCAGATAAGAAAAAATTATCTAGATATAGATAAAAGATTATTGCTCTAATATTATCTAGATTAAGATAAGATAGCATGTATTTAAATTATCTCAGATAAGATAAAATACAAACAAAATTTATCTAGATAAAAAAAAGATGAAAGTTTAAATGTTTAAAATAGTTTAATTTAACCAACAATTAAATTTATATTTTATCGTGGAAAATTAATATATCTACCAATAATTGAAATCTTAAGATTAGGAATACAGATTTTTTAAACATAACATAAATAATGACCATCAATATTCCACAATTTTCTTTATATATGTTTACTATGTCATATTATTATCATTGGCGTAATAATTTAATTTAATTTTGGTCTATTTATAGATTGGGAATTAATTTTTTCCTGTTAAAAGCTTGATAGTTTTATACATTTATAATTATAATACTACGTTCGTATAATTATTATTATTTTTTTTGATCGTGTTTTACTAAATTTAACATTATGACTATTTTCTATTTAACATTTATAAAATGGACTCCATAGATGAGTTGCATGCATACAGGGCGCTCAAAAAAAATTTTTTTTCGATTTACTTATATTATCTAGATAATTACTAAAAAGATAACGATTTTTTTATCTTAGATAACCCTTAGATACCTATCCACATTTTCATCTAGATAAGATAAAATATAAATAAATATTATCTAGATGAAATATCTAGATAAATTTATCTAGATAAGTCTCAACACTGAAGATACTGAAGTCGAAAATCGAAGCATTATTTCGACTACTTATCGTGTACACAGACACACAAAAAAAAAAAAAATAAAAAAACAAACATCATTGTAAAATCAATACATTCATAGTTCCACTCAGAATCTAAAAAGAGCTCTGCTGTACAGAAGGTCACTTTATACATTATATTAAATTTGAATTCAATGATATATCATTGTATAAGAAAAACGATTCTGAGCGGAGACGGTATGTCACTATGTCAGTCTAGGTATAAAACATATTAAATACTTATCTATATTATTAATAAAAATAGGTATCTACGTATCATAAATTCCAAATTAATCATATCACAATATCCATTAGGTAGGTACTTAAAAAAACTTTTATGAATTTCTAACTCGAAATAATTTGCAAATTTTCGTGATTTTTAAATATTTTTTCATTTTTTGAACTTTAAATGCATATAAAAAAAATGTTGACTTTGTATTTTTAATTTTTTTAATTTGCCTTTGAAAGAATATACTATGAGCCTTTTGTTAAATTATTAAGCTTTTTTAACAACAAATACAATTTTATTGTTATTTATAGAAATAAAAACTATAAAAAATAGAAACTGAAAAGATCCGTAAACAGCTCAAAATATTTGGAAAATGTTATGGTATATAGAAAATTCTAATATAAACATTTACTTAAAATTTCATGTACCTACAATAATTAATAATAGTTACACCAAAAACCAAAATCGATTTTTCCGAAAACAGATTTTTTTAAAAATTCCTGTTTTGTTAATTTGTCTTTTGTTTTTCACGGTGCTTTTGAAAACTACTGGAAATATTTACTTTTGACCAACCAAAGTACCAACTAGTTTCACTTTCCTATCAGAAAAGATACTGTTAAAGAAAATCTAAGCATTTTTACTGTTCTAAAACGTGATGACATGCACAAAAATAAAAAAACACACATCATTGTAAAATTAATACATTCATCGTTTCACTCAGAATCTAAATTAAATATGTCCCAAGTAAGCCGGTTTTAGGGTAGGTAATCAATCGTAATAATTAATTACTTTAAAAAATGTATTTAAAAACATTACAAATATTAAAATATAAAGGTATAATTCATTTTTTATTCTAAATAAAAATATTTTCATGAAAAACACATAAATATAAATATACCACATTGAAATTATGTGTATAATATATTATAATAGAAAGTTTAGTGTGGAGTCCACATTATGTTTAAAAGTTGTACACAATTATATACATGACAATACAGTCATATAGTCATATCTGTCAATTACCTACAAGAAGAAAAAATACATAAATAATAATACAAAAGAATAATTATTCAACAAATAATATATTTAAATATTCTTACTTGGCAATTATTTGAACAGTATTTCACTGCTTTACATTTACAATCCAGGAATATAAGTCATACGTGTCAATTACCTAAAAGAAGAAAAAATACATTAATAATAATACAACAGAATAGTTATTCAATAAATAATAAATTAAAATATTCTTACTTGGCAATTATTTGAACAGTATTTCACTAGTTTGTTACCGCATAATATGTTGTTACAATTTCTCGAGTGGCACTAAAAAAAAACAATAAAAATAAAATATAGTACCTAGTCAACTGAATCATTCGATCGTCGGAAATCATTCGTTTTTCGTCAATTTTAATAAGTTGGTTGGTTAGTTATCCATCAATTATTATACTTTAAATGCTTATAAAAAAAAACGTTTTGGTCCCAAATAATACATTAACAATTTTATTAACATCCAATGGCATAGACATGATTTCTGAAGGGGGGGGGGTTATCAATAAAAGAAAATGAAATAGCTAAATGGGAGGGGAAATTTAGAAAATCCTCCATGCTGTCAAAAGTTTTTACTTGGGTAGTAAAATATTTAATTATAAGTAACAATGAAAATAATTTTAACTGATTAAAAATTCACATCAAACACAATTTCGAATATAGTCCTCTCCAAAGACAATTTGAGGGAATCTGACCCCCCGCGTCACCCTTGTATAGGCCACTGTTAACATCCATAGAAAAAAAACTAAAACAATCGAAAGTTGAAAATGTCCATTATCAGCTCAAAACGAACCAAAATATTTTGAAAGTTATAATATCGCTCATAAAAAATTATTGTAAATATAATTTAAACTTTTTTTTTAATTTCCACTAACAATAACTTACGAGAAACGTTGTATTACATTTTAAAATGTTTTGACCTATCATAAAATATTTTATCGATAATTATTTTTAAAAAAAATATGAAACTCGAAATTTACTTATGCTAATAAATGGCTCAAAAAGAGTTACAATATTTTATGGTGCATAGAAATTGCATATATAAACATCCATTGAAAATTGCATGTATCTGTGGAATTATTTTTAACAGTTACACCAAAAACCAAAGTTGATTTTTTCGAAAACTGATTTTTCGTAAAAATTAACATTTTTTTTGTTTTCCAGGTGCTTTTAAAAAATACTGGGAATTTTAAACGACCTCCCAATGAACCAACTAGATTCCCTTTTCCACCTAAAAAGATGCTGAAGTTGAAAATCAAAGTATTATTTCAACAACTTATCGTGTACACTATACAAGCAACAGATACAAATTAAAAATACACATCATTGTAAAATCAATACATTCATCTTTCCACTCAGAATCTAAAATGTATGCAATTGGAAGCATGTTACTTACTAGTACTTGTAACAAGGATTTTGGAAAACCACAATTATGAAATAAACAATAAATTAGTGTAGCAATTTAACAGATTATATAGATCATTAAAAATTTTAAACTCGTATTATAATTAGGTTTTTAAAAATCATCTATTTACAATCTAATATTATATTAAAAAAATAAGTATTAAGTGTTTGTACACAATTATATAGATATTGGTGATTTTAAATACCTTGATAAAAACTGCTGGCTCTTGATTAACTACTACATTATTTGATACAGTGGGCTCTGGCTTATCATCATAACCATTGACTACTGCTTTCATTTTACATGTTGCTTGCACCAAAGGACTGAGGGAATTAATTGGCATAACACCAAAACATTGGTTTGTTGGTATCTTATGAGACGTAGAAGATACATAAGGTTTCTTTTGAAGTTGAGAAGAAAATGACTGGCTCATTACATTTGATTGTTTTACTGCAGTATTAGCAATGGTTTGTGACGTATTATCATTTAGCAAAGGTATGTGTCTAAAAATATAACAGAAATAATTAATACTGGATTTTTAATTTTAATTTTACTATAAAAATGTACAACGGAGGAATAAGGAATACTTATAATAATAAGAAGTAGTTTGGATTTTGTGTTTCAAATTTCATTAAGTTATAAGTTGCTTATTAAATAAATAAAGATTAAATAAATATCGTTTAAATAAAGATGCCATTGGCAGTTATAAAAAAAAAAAAAAATAAGTTGCTTATTCAAAACACCAGGGATTTAATTAATAATAATAATTGTAATATATATTTAAACCTTTATAACTTAATATAAATTAATCTGACTATAACAGATGTAACTAAAGTTACTACCTATAATTTTATACATATATTATAACTTGAAATCTTTGATTAATATTTCAACTACCTACAACTATTAGTATACCAACTCTCTTTCACCGGGCTAAATATCTTAATATAGGTAACAAATATTTCATGGCCTCTAATCGGTCCATAACATTAATTAGATATGAAAAAAAGCTTACTGGTAAGTTCCATCTTGAATTATTTCATCTGAGTTGTTAGTGCTTTGATTAGTTTCTGTTACATTTGTTGAATCTACAGGATCTTTAAACATTGAATTATTGAAACATTGAAAAGTAGCGTTATCGATTAATAACTCAAGCTCTTCCTTCGAATCACTGGTGACAGCATCAATAACTGCTTGAAAAATTTTTAAATTATTTTCTGCTGATACAAAAAACCATGACATCCAATCTGTGACTCCGGAGTCAATATCCCGATTATCTTCAATTAACTTTATTAAATCGATGCAGTCATGTTCAAATGTCTTTGCCCGCAACAATGAAAACATTTGTGGATGGTTTTATTCACTGGCCTTCAAACTATTTAACAGTAAAAGTACCAACTTTTTAAAGATTCTACCTTTTTTGAAATTTGGCTTATCCAGAACTTGAAGTACAGTTAATATACTTATAAAAATCATTTTAAATGCTAAATCAAATTCTGACTCTTCAAAAGATGATATGACACATATAAGATTGTTTTTCAACTTTTTTACTAGAATTTTTTTATGCCTCTCGTTTAACTTCCGTGCATCATATCTTTCTTTCAGTTTTAGAGCTTCATTTTTTTTTTTTGAAGATATATCAATTCGTGCTTTGCAATATTTCTCAGACATTAAAATAATGTTGAGAATATTTGCAATAATCACAATTGTATCTCGTACGCATTTGATAAAATATTTTTTATATAGTTTTTTAATTTCAATTAAATTCCTTCTTACAAGATTTTCACCATTTAAAGTGTGTTTAACTCCATTTACTTTGTAATTATGTAAAAATGGTTGATATCTAGTTGTAGAGAGTTTAGCAGCTGTTAACTTTTTGATGTCAGTTCTTAGATGTTTGGGTTCTATACCAACATTTTTCATCCAAATTTTGTAGTTATCTTCATCCATAATTTTTCTAAGATCAACAACCCTGATCATAGATCTTACATTTTTTTCTGAAGACTTTTCAGATTCAATAGATTCTTCCATTGATACCTCCTCAGTACTGGTAGTAACATTTTCATTATTGGTTTTTAATGAGGACTTGAATTGTGATTTAAATTTTTTAGTTTTACCATCTCTATATATTACCAATTTCAAAACATCTATTCTATTTGTATCCACCTTTTGTATTTTTTCAGCAGGCTCATCGTCCATTGATGAATTATTTTTATTATATGTTTTATCAGCTTTAGTCATTGTTACGTCTTTGGGCGTTTTATCATCTAAAGACGTTTTAAAGTCTTTATAATATGTATTATAATCTTCTTTGAGTTTATTAAAATCTTCTTTCGGTGTATTATGCTTATTTTTAATGAAGCTCCTAAAATGAAATAAAATTATAAACTTAAATGAGTAAATGTCATATTATCCATGTATTTAAAAAGCCATGGGGGAGGGAGTGGGCCATGCCCACTGCCCACCACATTAGCCACATCAAAACACTGAAACGACGAATAAATAAATTACTATTGTTAATTTTTAAGCATTTTTTTTTAATATTTTGACTTTGACTTACAATTTACAATTTTGGACATCTTCTGCAGTCAATTGTATAAAAGGATTTCCATAAATAGCATTTTTACACAAGTTATCAATATACTTTTTGGTATGCATTTTCGTTCTGAAAAAAAATAAATATTTTTTAGCATGAGATTAGAAATACAAAGTTCACATTCAATTTATATAATTTAAAATAAAAATGTTTATTAAAAACCAATTTTATACTTTTAGCAACTAATACTGTTTCATAATATATATGTTATTCATTAAATATGTTATATAAATATAACATTAATTAATGTATTTAATCACTCATAAATAAGATTATTGATAAAGAAATACAAAATAAAAAAAGACGATTCTCTTGAGAACATTTTAATCTTTGGACTTAACTTACCAACTAATAATAATTGGATGCAAATCTTTAGTACCTATGCACTGTATAATATATACTATATGTAATATATATAATATACTAGTACACCTATTAGTATCATATAATTGATTAGGAAATTAAAATAACTGCCTATGTTTTTAAAAACTTTTAAATAATATTAAATATTTGTTTTATGTGATTTATTGTGGTTATAATAATATGTAATTATTGCACCTAGATAATGTATTATTTTGTCCTGCTACAAATCCTTTTTAATCACTTTAAGCTGTAGTGATTTTAAAATGTTAATAATTAATGTTTAATAAATCTATCAAAATTAATAATTTGTAAAAGCTGTTGAAGTATAATAAATACTAGATCTGATATTACATACATTTTATACTTTTGTAAAACCACTTTTAAGGGCTATTATCTTTAGTATAATCATTTTAATAACTGAGAATCTCCATCTGAGAAACTACTAGTTTAAAGTGTAAGTTCCTACTATTGGTAATGGGTATAATTTTTGTTTTAAAATTGAAATAAGTTAAAATGTTTAGTAAACTGTACACCTGAAAATCAGTACTATTAAAATGACCTAGGTATCTAACAAACTCTAACAATAAATAGCATTATTTAACCTGGAAAGACTTTATAGATTTTAAAATACATAATATCAAAAACCCGATAAAAATTATTTTTATTACCAAAAAAATAAAACAATCGGCATAATTTATATATTGTAGATCACATTGACATTATGGAATAATTATGCAAAGAAAGTTTAATTAAAACAAAAGATCATAATAACTTCGGAAAGAGCCAGAGCTACTAAATATAAAAATGAAAAATATTTATCAGTAGGTAATTCAATCATCAACAATTTCATACAATGCAATGAAAAGCGGCCATAAAATGTATAAAAAAATAAACAATATATCCTTTGTATATGTTATATTTCTTATAATATGTCCTACCGTTTATTTTTGAAGATTCAATAATTGGTTTTCTGAAAATTAGAAAAATATGAAAATTATACCAGACCTTTCTTTATGGAAAAATTAAAAAAATAATTTTATCATTATACAAGTGCATTTTGAAGAAGTAAATTAGCAATCAAAAAATCATTCATTTAGTTTTGTCCTCAGGTCACAATCAGTATTGGATCATGAGCCATGACCATAGAGTAGTAATGACTGGGTGATATGTATATTGTATAAAACTGCAAGTAAGAGTGCAGATTATACTATTAATTGCCAAAAATGAGTGTTGAATGTACAAAATTGATGGTGTTTGAGTGTTTGACATATGATATTTGTAAATAATATAAATAAAGAAATATTATTTATTCTGCCACTTCATAATTTACAATAGGTACATAATTTCATAATTAAGTGTGATAAATTTTATTTTATGGAACATTTGTGTATGTAACATAAAGCAATATAAATAGCATTTAAATTGACACCAGGTAATACCCGCTAGTAATATAATATTACCTATTAATTATGTATACTAAATAAATTTATTTTTTTTATTTTTATTGCTATACATATATTAGTGAAGTTTATGAACTACTGCTTAATTCTAAACTAACTAGTGTAGATTAACATTGTCATAATCATTCATGACGAGAATTGTATAATTTTGTATAATTTGTGAGGCGATTTAGTATGGACCAATATTTAAAATAAAAATAAAAATAGTGAGCCAGTAGGAAAGGTCAGCTATACTCACAATTAAGTAAGTCACTATAATGTTTATGTTAAATTAAAATTCAATGATATTTATGATATTTGATTCTGAGCGAAGATGGTCATCTATGGCCTATGATAGTAATTTATTACTATTATTTTACATACATTTAGGACAAAATGAAAATCTGGTTAAAACAATGTGTGATCGTGCTAATTTCCTGTTTTTTAAAAACATGCAATGCAACTAACTATTAATTTCATACTAAATAATTTAAAAATAATTAGTTGGTAACTTTTGGGTTTGGTATCTTTTTTTATATTGATTACTATAAATCTATAGTGAATAATATAATATTTTGATATTTTTTAATACTGGCTAGAATGAACTTATTTTGAATAAAACTCAGGTTATAAAATAAATAAAACAACTTTTTTTTAACATTTATTATAAAATAAATTTCTGGTCTTCAGAGGATTTTCGCAATTTTGGTTTTCTCTCTCAGACCCATGCACAACAGATAAAACGCTTTCACCTAAAATTGTGTTTTTATGATTTTTGACTAATCTTAGATTAAAACTGGCTGATCCCGTGCACTTCGTTTCCCGTTAAATGTACCAACTCTATATGACTCAAACATTGTTCAATGCGTTATTTAATATTCGGTGTATGATGTTCTAGATTTATCTTAACTTTTCTGTTGCCCGGAATAAAAATTCTGAATTGCAACAGTACATTATCAGATAGGTAATTTACCTGCGGTAGATCGCGGACCCCGTCCTGTTTGTACGTAAGTGTATGATTTAACTCAAAAAGTACCAAAGTTATACCAAGTTTGACGTTTTTACTTAATTGCACCTACCTATAAATCCTAACCTAACCTAACCGTACTAAAATCCGATGAATAAAAAAAACCAAATTTAACCCTTTTTAAATTAGCGTATCTTCTTCCCATAGGTCATTCATTTATATATAAGATATATTTACAAAAAATAATAATACAAATCAACAAACATGCCCGATTAACCAATAGCAACCAATATAATATAATACACCATAGAGTAAATAAAGACAACGGTATCGATTTCAAATCCCAGACATCAATAAATAGTTTTTGCAGTTTTTCTAATTATTCGGTTGACTTTTTAAAAATTTTCTTTCGTAAAAACCTTCACCTGGCAATTACGAACATCTTAAAAAAATTTGAGCAAAATCGGCCCAGCCGTTCTCAACTGATGCAATTTCGAATTTTTTGTATCCATTTTTATATATTATAGATATAGATTACCTATTACAAAAATTATAGATGATAATGACATAATATGAATGTTATATTATATTGTTATTTGATTTTGTATTTGACTTTCAAAATAAATAAAAATGCTAATTTAAATGATGTTTAAATTGTTATGAGACAATATTTAGACAAATTAAAGTCATACCCTCAAAACAATTATTCTCAAACATTTTTGTAAAAAAAAACACAGTATTGTTATAGTACTGGAATAAAAATAATAATTCTGTATAAATGCGTTTTGTCTGTATTGCGCATGGGCCAGAGAGAGAAAACAAATAGTCCTCTGACTTCCTCTTAAATTATGACACATACAAAAGGGGCAAACCGATCCATGTTGGAATACTATCTTGTCGTGTGAATCGTTTGTATGTAGTTTTATGTAGAAATATCAAACTATAAATTTTTTTTTTTTTATTGATCTAATAAAATGCCTGACAACTATGGTCATTAACTACAAATATGAAATATACAATAGTTATTTACAGTTTTAAGGTATTCTTATATATAAGTTAGGTATTAACATTGAAATTACAGAATAGGTGTGGTTACATAGTGTACAGTCGCCAGTCGGGTTAAATATTATTATATTAAATTGTAAAGGCCTGTCAATTTCAGGAATTTTATTATAAAAATTATTTTTTATTTTATTTACATTTTAGATAAACATGACAAATTTGAAGTAATTATTGGAAAAAAAATATACCTTGATTTGAAAAGAAATTATTATCTAATACCAACTTTCAAATTCAATAAAAACATCGCCCAATATGTCTAGTATAAAAGCACATGACAAAAAATGTACATCCATTTCACAGTGTAGCTGTATAAGTATAAACAAAGCTGATAAAACCAAATATTTAGGAGTCACATTTGATCAACACTTAAGATGGAACTTTCATAATATACCGGAGCTTAATATGAAACTGCTCAAATTATACACATTTTACAATAATATGTCAAAACACTTTTTAAATATTCACTTGCTAAAAAATACTTACTGTAATTTAACACAATCCCTGATAGAATATGGTATAGTAGTTTGGGGTAGGTAACGCGGCACAAACACATATAAATTGTTTACAGATAGCACAAAACACCTCCTTAAAAATAATCTATCACAAACCTAGGCCTTACTTATCCAAAAATGTATACTCCGAAGCCAAAATATTAACGGTAAAACAATTATAATATTATAAAAAAACCAAATATATTACATGTCAAAAAAAATTTAATACAACTGGTCGTTCATACTTATAACACAAGAACTGAAAAGTTAATGTACCCAAAAATGAACACAACTAAATACTACAATAGCTATATGATAACTGGGTTGAAACTTTAGGAAAAAATACCCATTTCTATAAAAAACTATCCACACTTTGATACCTTTAAATTATTAATTCAGAAATGGTTATTGACAAATGAAGTAAATCCTTAGGTTAACACACAAATCACATACCATTATTTTTAATTTTATCTTTATTTTGCTCTTATAATTAATTTATGTTGTATAAAAAATCTCCTTAAAAACTCGCGATTATTATTTATTTATAGATAGGTAACTTCAAGGTACCTTATTATTATTATTTATTCATTTATTTTAATTAATTAATATAATTTATTTAATCGTTTTAATTATATTCATTTACAAAGGTGGGCATTAACTAGTTGAAAAGTTAAAGTTCAGTTAAAAAGTTTATTTTTTTTTAACTTTTTAACTTAACTAGTTAGTTTATTTTCTAATCA